AGAGAGAGAGAGAGAGAGAGAGAGAGAGAGAGAGAGAGGGGGAGAGAGAGAGAGAGAGAGAGAGAGAGAGAGAGAGAGAGAGAGAGAGAGAGAGACTGAGAGAGAATCTGACATTGCAGTCGCTTGAATACAGTCGAGGGGACAGCTCACCCTCAAATTTGACAAAACTGAAGAGGGTGCGCTGTCTCTCCGAATGTGCAAAGATACCTTTGAGGACGGATACATTCATGACAAGGGTATAGGGCACTTACCATCATGGATTCTCGTCATCACCGTATCCAACCTTCTTTTTTTTTTTTTCTCTTGAAAACCAGTGTCCTTGCTAGGAGAGGTTGTAAGAGCACACCCCCCTAGAAAGAGACCTGGGTGCTCCGGTCTGTTGGTGGGGAGCAGGATCTACTGGAAAGCGGGTCCATCCAAAGTCCTGCCGTATCCAACATGAAACCAATGTTTCATAAATTTGAGGGTACAACACCCCCTCCTTGAAGTTCGCAAAAGATTTCCAAGCAACAGTTCATCTCGAAGGTGGCTTGGAAGTATTTGTCATCATGAAAAAGACGTAGGAATGATATCATGAAAAAGACGTAGGAATGATATCATGAAAAAGACTTAGGGGTGATTGATCCTCAGCTCCGCATACAGGCCCTTCAGTCCAAGTGGCTGTTAAAGCTGATAACTAATCACAAGCTCCCATGGGAGCCCTTTCCCCTAGACAGCATCAACCAATTAGCCAGATACAAGACTCCAACAAACATGAGGGTTATTTTGGTTGATGAGAGGCCAATGACAGGACTCAGGAGCACCTAACAGACATCTGAACAGGAGAATCGGCAGGAAAGCAAGGAGATTTACTCGCTACACCTAGTCAACTTCTGGGTAGAGAACGCCTTCATCAAGCGAAGAAGTTCTGAGGCAACCAATCTTCTGCAAGCAATTGATAGAGGATGAGCACGGCAAGCCAAGGACGTTCCTCCTGGCACAAGACTCCAAATGGGGAACAAGGGTGGAAACTGGCATTAGTCAAACAAGTAAACGCGCCGCGGCTACGTCGTGGCAGGGGGAACGTACGTAATTGAAGAAGCGAATTTTCGATCAGAACGAGAATGAACACAGAAACGTATGAAGTTTTGACACTGTGACTCTCTCTCTCTCTCTCTCTCTCTCTCTCTCTCTCTCTCTCTCTCTCTCTCTCTCTCTCTCTCTCTCTCTCTCTCTAGAGAAGACCAAAAGATTTGAGGTTGCGACTACGCCCGCGGCACATGTTTTCTTCCCCTCCATCTCATGTCTCACATACAGGCGAAACAGCATAATAATCTTCCTCTTTCCCCCCCTTCCTTATGCCACCGCACTGGCCAACAGGTAAGTCTCAAACCCCGCGGCTATCGATAGAATGAGCAAAATCGAATGAATCTTCCGCTAGAATATGGAAATATACACTACTTTCCTATGCTACGTCACTTCCCTCTCCTTCATGTCTCCTCTCTTTTCCCCATGCAGTCTCCTTTCCCATCGGTGTCCCTCCCCCTCCTACCTTATGCCGCTCTCTTCTCTATACTGATCCTGGCCGCACTGCAGGGTGTGCTTGCTGTGCGGCTCTCTTCTCGGTCACGATGCTAGGCGCCCTGCCATGTCCCCGCCTCTCTAAGCACCTGCTCTCCTCTCAATGGCCAGTGCCTTGCCAACTGGCTACACTATGCCCCTCTCCTCTCTCTCTCTCTCTCTCTCTCTCTCTCTCTCTCTCTCTCTCTCTCTCTCTCTCTCTCTCTCTCTCTCTCTCTCTCTC